TTTTACAATTACTTTTTTATTTCTCCTATAGCGCCTTCTTTGGGGGCAAACTACCGATCAAGACATAAAATTTTCGCCAGCAGTTTTTTTTGTTGATTTTGTTGTCTTCGTGCGTCCGAATGCCGATGCATAGATGGGTCGTTCGGAAGTTGACGCGTCGAGTCTGGAACGGGTCTGGCCCGCGGGGCGACGACCCGCGACGGGAAAGAAAAGGGGAGAGAGAGAGAGTGAGTGAGTGAGAGAGTGAGTGAGTGAGTGAGTGAGAGAGAGAGAGAAGCGCCTAGGAAAGGAACGCGACGGCGTCGCGCGAGACTTTGAAGGCTAATAGCATGTCGTCGCAAGTGTTGTCGGATTCCTCCAAATCCGGCCCGAACGTTCCACGGAACCGAATCCCGAATCGCTCACCTCTCAACGCGCCATGTCAGCAGCACTGCTTCGCCGCCGGCGAAACCGTGAAAACGAAAGTGGGATCGTTTTTATTTCTGGTCCCTCCTCTTCTGCCCTCTTTTTTTCCCCTGCCGTTTGCATCCTTTTTTTACCCCCTATACTTCTTTGGGAATTGGCGTGCGTCGTTGCTGGCGCCGTTCCAGCATCGCCGGGGTGCGCTGGCGCTGTCGCTGGCGCTGGCCGCGGGGTCCTCCACGCTGACTAATGCGACACGGCCCGCCCCGCGGCTTCCTGAAACACCATAGACTTTCCATTGTCCGAAGCACGTCCCGTTCCTCTCCAGATCGTTTATTGTTGCTTTCCGGTACCGGTCAAGCGTATCACTCACTGTGAAAAATGTCATCGTAAATTTACAAAATTTTTGTAAACTCAAGTTATAATTTAAGTTGTAAATTGTAGTTTTACAATTTTTGTCAAGGAAAATTGTCCTGTGACCCTGCCTATTGTTGTCGGACCGACCCATGTTCTGACTGTGCCTTCACCCAGAAAAAAATGAAACTTGCTGCAACCATCCTATTGCAGGCCAGAGAGAACCATACAAACTACCGTTGTACTAATACATGAATATGGTTACTTCACCGATGGAAATTGTTCGGCTTGCTGCACTACCCGTGCGTGTTGCCGTAACCATATTTTGATGATTATCCCTGGTCTACCATACGATGGTTGCTATAAGTTTTGGTTTTTCTAGGTGTTACTGTCATAGGGGTCATCCAGAAAGGATACGTCCGTTTCTATTTATCCAGAAAAACGCGAATGGTTGGCGCCTGCGAAACTGAGGGTAGGCCACCCCGCTGTGCACCCATGCGCTTTAGGTGAAATGTTGCCTATCTACCAGGCGCTTCGAGGGTTAGCTCACGCTAGCTGAACTTGGCAGTTTTAAAAAAGCGAATGGCGGGCGGACTTTCCTGATGATCTCATAGGGGTCACGCCCAGGTACTACACTACGTGACCTAATAGGACCCTCATGATATTTGCACTAGGCGGTAAAGGTATTGTGGGGTGCTTTGGACTGGAGTCCATGCAGATCTACATAGCTCGGATATATTTTGGGACCCTATAGTATTAGCTACCCCCACCCCTACCCCTCCCTAAAGGTCAGTTAGACCTCATACTGCCCACTGGCATCCTTGAAATATGTCAATGTTTGCGTTGTTTTGAGGAACTTGAGAAAACTTCCATGACATCAGGGAACTGAAAAAGTCGGGGCCCCCTCGCGATCCTGTTGTAGGTCAACAAAATTAGCAAGTTGAAAACACACATGACGGGTCCATCCCATTTCTTTTTTTCTTACCTCTGGAGGGAAATCCCTCTGACACCAATGAAGCATCAGTCTGGGTGTTGGCAGCGGATGCGTGCCCGTCCCGCACGTTATCCTTGAGGCCCGAATCTAGAGACGGAAACATAGCTGTGTGCACTCCTCGGTTCAGGGAGTGATTCACGAACGGTGGTAAAGGTTCGTTGTCAAACGTTCGCGTACGTCACACTACTGCTCTCGTCCCCGAGGTGTACACTCAAAAAAAAATCATTGTTCACAGTTTCAAAAAATTGAAAAAAAAGTTATTAACAT